GTTTAGGGTTTAGAGTTTAGGGCTTAGCATTTATGGGTTTAGGGGTTTAAGGTTTAGGGCTTGGGATTCAACGGTTTAGGGGTTTAGGGTTTAGGGTTCAACTTCAGTTTCCAAGATTTCAAGAAGTTCATAGGATGAGAGCCCGCAGTCCGCCATCTGAAGGTGTACTAACCCGGCTGGCAAGCTTGAAATCTACCTTAAATCCTGGAAGTCGAAAATGCTGAGCCCTAAACCCAAAGCCCTAAACGCTAAACCCTAAAACCCTAAACCCTAAACCGATACCGCAAGCCCCAAACCTGCGGCTCAGGCATTAGGTCATTCGGGCTGAGCCTGCAAATTGAAATCTAACCATCCCGGTTTAGGGTTTAGGGTTTAGGGTTTAGGGTTTAGGGTTTAGGGTTTAGGGTTTAGGGTTTAGGACATGTTCAGGTGGGTAGTTGCCGTTAAAGGAGCCTTACAGAAGGCCTATATACCTTATAGAAGCCTGATAGAAGCACTATATACCCTAAATTCCCCACCTAGCCCTAAACCCTAAACCCTAAACCCCTGAACCCTAAACTCCCCACCTGTAGTTTCCTGAAACTCCCCCCCATCCCCACGGAACTCGAGTCTTCCATCCGAGGCCTTGAAAGGCGGGATGAAGGATTCTAGAGCCGTAGAGATCAGTGGTCTTAGGGGTTGAACCCTAAACCCTAAACCCTAAACCCTAAACCCTAAACCCTAAACCCTAAACTGAACGTTCGGGGTTTAGGTTTTAGGGTTCCGCCTTCAGGGTTTAGGGCAGGCTTTCAACCCGTTCGGCCTGTAAAGCCCTCAACCACACGAACTTGGAAGCGGCCTAGGACTGTCAGCATGAATATAGGGGCCTTAATAATCGCCTATACTATTTGGGGTTCCTTCGTATAATTATAGTATAACTTACCCCAAAGCCCCAATCCAATTATTATGGACCCTATATTAACCTCAGTAGCAGCAGCGGCTGACAGCACGAGTAGGCACGAGGACATCCAATGCAAAGAGCAACAGCAAAGAGCATGATAGCAACACAGAGTACGAAGCATTAGCGGCAATAGGCATCCGTACAAAAAGGTGTAAGTTGTGGTGGAAGCACGGTTCAGAACCCAATATATCAAGACCCAGAACCCATACATTCATCAACAGATAGAAGCAGCCTAAGCCCAGACACCCTAAACCCTAAACCCTAAACGCAGCCTAAGCCCAGACACCCTTATAAAGAAGCCTAATCACTACCGTTTCGCACGGTTCCCGACTATAGTTGCAGTACGAACAGCCTCAAAACCCTCTTCCAAATAATATAGGGGCCTTAAAACTTACATATAGTAGTTTGGGGGGCTCCCTATTGTAATTATATAATGGGCCCCATGACCCTATTTTAATTGTTAAGGCTCCTATATTATTCAGGCCCCTTAGACTTAGACTTGCAACAAAATGCTTCGTGTTCGGATGATGTCCGGTGGGAGCATTGCTGCTCTGCCGCTTCGGGAGCTTTCCGATGCCCTGGGCTGGTCAGAGCATCCGGATCATCCTGCCACTGGGTTTAAGCATTTAGGTTGGGGTTCTGCCGTAACCTCCAAAAACCTACTTTTTTTTTGTACGGCCCCTATAGATTTTATATTATGGTTCATAAGAAGAACCTACAAAACAGGTAGGTTATGCTAGGCTAAGGTAGGGTTTAGGGCCACGGCTAAACCCTAAACCCTAAACCCTAGAGGCCCTAAACCCTAAACCCTAAACTACTAAACCCTAGAAACCCTAAACCCTAAACCTTAAACCCTGAACCCGAGCTCGTTTCAGGGTGCTAGAGGGGTTTCAGAAGGGCTCCATCAGAATTCGGAAGCCTTCCTGAGCCTGGGCTAGACATGTAGATTTTGGGGTTTTTAGGGTTTAGGGTTTAGGGGTTTAGGGTTTGGGGTTTCTAGGGGTTTAGCAATTTAGGGCGTATCTTTCCTGCTTTGAGGCTTGGGCTACAGCATATAGATCCGACAGCCGTCCATCCGAAAATCCGAGTCTCAAACCCTAAACCCTAAACCCTCTAGACCTTGAGCCTTAAACGCCGAAGCCCTAAGGCCCTGAAGCCCTGCCTAAGGACGGAAAGAACCCTAAAAGGGTCTAGGGTTCATATACCATACAAGGACTCATAGTATAGTTGTATACGGCCTCTACTTTTAAGGGTCATTAGGTCCCTAATGACCCTAAACCCCTAAGCCCCTAACCCCTAAACCCGAAACCCCGATACGGCCCCTACTTTGAAGAGATCCTTTTGGTTCCTTAAGGGGACACCCCTAGGCCGTACTGTAGAACATGAACTTAGAACCTTCACTTCTGAAGCCTTAAGGGTTTTACCCTGAACCCTACTTGGAGGGTCGGGGGACTTAGTAAGTAGGTAATAAGTAGAGTGATAAGTACCCTAAAAGGGCTCCTAATTTGCAGGGTTATGGTACTTGTAAGTCTGTAAAACAACTATAGTTACTGAGTCTCCCGACCCTCCAAGTAGGGTTTAGGGTGCGCCTTGGGCCTTGTTCGTTCAATCGTTCGGGAACATGGAACTGGGTCTGTTAAGGCACGCTTCCGGGGCGGTGAAGCGTTGGGCTTAACTTTTAGGGTTCCGGGTTTAGCCAGCTGCTTTGTTTCGGCTTCGGCTTTAGGATTCAAAGTTGAAGGTTCTGCTTTTTGTTGCACTTCCGTTCGGCGATTTGGCAAGTTTAGGAAGAGCTGCCCTAAACCCTAAACCGTAAACCCTAAAACCAAAACCATATGAGGTTCGTTCTTTGAAGCGGCATCTGGAGTGTCGATGTGGTCAGTCGCGATTTCGACAAAGGCTTTTGAGTGAAGATGGAGTCTCGGCCCTGGTTAATGTAGGGGTCTTATCTTAATATATACCTATAGTAGTTTGGGGGTTCCTTACTACAATTATAGTGTAACGGGCCCAAAGACTCTATTAAGGCCCCTACATTAAACAAGTTCTTGTTAGGAGAAGCTTTCCCGACAACGGTTTAGAGCTTAGGGCTTTGGGAAAAGGTTCAGGGATCATACAACGTAAAGCCTGAACCTATGACCCTAAGCTCGAGGCCCCTACAAGTCATAGGGGGCCTCTTTGCTGTACCATGCCCTAAGCCCTAAACCCTAGACCCCCAACACTAAACCCTAAAACCTAAACCCTAAAACCCAAACCCTAAGCCCCAAACCCTAAACCCTAAAGCGTAAACCCCAAACCCTAAACCCCAAACCCTAAACCCCAAACCCTAAACCCCAAACCCCAAACCCTAAACCCTAAAACCTAAGCCCCAAGCCCAAAACCGTGCATCTTCGACCCAGGAGCAACATTGCAGGATGATGATGTGCTCGATGGGCATAGCGAGTTGCAGCTGGTGCTTTTGGAGTTCGGCCAGACATCTCAGGACATGTCAGGTCCCTCTTAGTCCTAGGGTTCAGGGTTTAGGATTTAGCGTTTAGGGTTTAGGGTTTAGCTAAACCCTAAACCCCTAAGCCCGTATGAATCCCTTGTAGAACCCATATATGGAAGCCTCTTAGCACCCTGACTCCCTAAACCCTACTGTCTTTAAAAACGTAACTCTAAACCCGTTAGAGTAAAGCCCTTACGGTATCCTAAACCCTAACCCTAACCCTAAAGCCTTAACCCTAAACCCTAAGTCCTCATAGAACTCTTGTAGTACTCCAGGCCCTAAGCCCTTAGCCCCTAAAGCCAAGCTCCCTCAACTCCAAGCCCTCATGGTACCCCTTTACAGTAATCTAGGGGCCTTAAATATATGACTAATACTTTTTTGGGTGCTGCTTATTATAGTTGTGGTATAATGAGCCCCAAAATCCTATTCTAATTATGAAGGCCCTTAAGCCTTACACCCTGAACACTCATAGTAACCCTTATAGAACCCTTTAAGGACTCCTCTTCTAAATTAGTAAGGCCCCTAAACCCGAAACCCGAAACCCTAAACCTCTAANNTCTAATTATGGAGGCCCCTACATTACGCTTAAAGGACAAGGCTGCCGAGCTTGTCGTCGCCGCGAGTAGCAACGACGCGTCGCTGGTGGAGGTCCTGCTGCGACCGGGTTCTGGTTTAGAAGCTTCCTTTAGGGCGTAGGGTTTAGGGCTTAGGGTTTAGGGTTTAGGGCTTAGAGCTTTGGGCTTGG